AGTAATTAGGTGGTTAGCAAGGGAAAATAGCTCCTATAGGACTCTAAATACCGGTAATTCTCTACAAAAGTAGTGCACTTCAAACACATTATTCACATATTCCTACATTGTAACACAAGAGGTAGCAAATGTTACCCTGGAGGTTAAGGTTGGATCCAGGTTTTTTAAGGCCAGGAGCTCATAAAAGTGTAAAGGCCCCACAGAAGAGAAGATAAAATTAGAACAGAAAGTCAGAGGTAGCCTATGCAAGTGAAGAGCCCTGAAGCTTAAGCTTTGTTTGCTTCACAGAAAAGCTTACTGGTAGGCACATAAAGGATGAATATCCTCTTTACTCATCAGTCGTACTGGGGAAAGGCTTGGGCATTAGGGAGAATAGTATTCAATAAGTTGTTATCAAAAAGTTTATAATATAAAATAAATCTTTAAAATGATCTTTGCTGCAGCTTTATTCTATCTTTATTCTATCAGATTTGATTCTATTACTTGGCTTTCTGTAAAAATAAAAAATATCCCAGGTATTCATTGTATATAGATCATAAATACTTTCTTTTTTAAACTACAGGTTGTAGACCTGGGCTAATACCATGGTCCTTAGCCACATGTGGTATTGGTCACTTGAAATTTGGCTAGTGCAACTGAGGAGCTAAATTTTAAATTGTATTTAATTTTAACTAATGAAAATTTTAAATCTGATACTCAGTTCAGTTATTATGAAACTTTTAGGTATGTTTGGAATAACTTGGGTATGTCAGTTGATTTTTTTGACTGTACTTTTTTTGAAATCCAAATGCAAACTAACTATTTCCTAGGAAAATTTAGCATCCACATTGAGATATGCTGTAAGTGTAGGATTCATATTGGATTTTGAAACTCTAGTGTGACAAAAGAAATGTAAAATATTTTATTAATAATGTTTATACTGATTATATGTTGAAATAATAATATTTTAATATACTGGTTAAATAATATACTCTAAAAATTAATTTTACCCAGTTCTTTTTATTTTTTAAAAATGTAGCGTGTAGAAAATTTTAAATTGTATGTATGGCTACTGTTATATTTCTATTGGACAATATTGCTTTAAACTCTGTTGTTCTCAAAGGGAGTATGTAATTTTTGAAACTACATACTTGAAAGGTAAACTTAGGAGAATCACAGGAGATGGAAAGTAATTACCAAAGATTACTAACAGAACATTTTTACCTTACTTGAGGTGGTGGAATTCCTACCACTATGCAATCCAACTGTACTCTGGTTCCTTCTGGAACTTCTCTGCTTCGTAACTTTTGAGTGAACCGGGGAGGTTGCCCCAGAGGTTCTTCGTAGTACAGAGATGAAGGAGAAGACCCTGGCGAGGTGTCCCCACCGGCTGCCTCACTGGCAGCCTGCTCAGCCTCGCGCCTCTTGGCTTCCTGCTGTTCAAGGGCATGATTCACTTCATTATCCCTGGTATCCGTAGGGATAGGGATGGGAACAGAAGACCTTTCTCTTCTTTCTGATAGCTCTGAGAAACTGGTGCTGTTTTCCTGCATAACTTTGTTTTGAGATTCCAGTTTACTCTTGTGGTTTTTGCAGGCACGAGGTCTAATCTTTTTGGAGCTATGGGCTTTGAAAAGGGATGACAGCTCTTCAATGAAGTCGGCAGCCTTATTTAAGAAAACTTTTTTGGACTGGGTTTCAGAAGTATACTGTGGCCGTTTTGCCTCCTGGAGGCTTTCTTTAGAGTTGGTAGAACTTTGAGAGTTATCCTGGCAGAAGTTAGGGTCAAAACTTGATTTAGGTGAGTGTTTCATCTGGTCAGAAGAAAAACGTTTTCTAGCTTGAGCTTCATCTGCTCTCTCCAAAGAGTCATAACTGATTGCCAATCTTGCCAGATTGACACTTTCATCCAATTCTTCTTGGCTCAGAAAAGCTGAAAGGTCTGGAAGGTCATCATGGCCTCCTCCACCTTCAGCAGCTCCAGAAGGACTGCCAAAATGGAAAGGGTTGGGGGAAGGCTCTGCTCGACTCCTCTCGTTATTTCCCTGATGTCTAGTTTCAGCTAAATAGCTCTCTCTTAGAAGCTGAGATATGGAAGTAGAAGCTTCTAGGCTGTCGTCTTGCATGCTGTCATAAAATAACAATAATAACAAAAAATTTGGATCATTTTTACAGAATAACAAATCTATGTTTATTACACTATGATAGATAATTAAGAACTTAAAGCTTAAAATAAGAACTGCCTGGTTTTGATACTTCACAAAATTTACTTTAGAGATTTAAGGATTATTCTCAAATTATAGAGTGGAGGGGAACTGAATGAGGTTTCCCTGAAATGGAAAATAGAAACATGGGTGATCATCACTTTATTAAATTTGTTAAATACAAGTTCAGTTGTGAAAGCTATGCTATAACTATAGTACCATTAAATATGATCTCTAAACGTAATTTTGATAATACTTTGTAAAGGCTCTTACTTATAAAGTGCTTTCATACACAGAGATTTGCTCTCCATCCTCTCCCCTTCATCTTGAATGTAAGAAAATGATGGAAATTAAAAGATATTGACATAATCTCATCTACTTACTGAAAATATAAACTTGATCTACCTCATAAAAATAAATAATGCTTTTATTTTATGACTAGAGATTAGTTGTTTAAATTCGGTGTTGCTTATAGGCTTAATCTACTCTTGAAAACTATAGTGATTTCACTTTTTCAAATAAAGTATAATTACTTTAATTTCTACCAAGATATGAATTAGATCCTAGGTTTAAAAAAAAAACTCTTAAATTAACATTGGTGAAGAGGAGATATGGGAGACAAGGAAGTGGGGTGCAAGACAGGATCTTTTTCACTGTATACCCTTTTCTTTTAAATTGTAATTATAAGAATATATTGTAATTAATTATATATTAACACATAATTATAAGAATGTATTTATTCAAAATAATTTTAAAAGTCTCATAAAAATAGTACAGTACCTTTTGTTCAAAGTCTCCTAGACTAGAAATTTTAGTAACACAAACCAGTTTCATTTTATTAATATTATACCCAATTTGTTCATTCACACATTTACTAGAGGGATGGCAAACTTGTGACACATAGGCTATTACTCTTCTCTCTCCTCCTTAGAAGATGTAACTAATTGATTACAGTACTATTCCCATTGACTTTAACTGTCTGCTCCTTCAGCCACCACCAGCCAATCAGAGATGGTAATGAAAATGAAGACTGTTTGCCATTCTTGGCTACTATGTGGTGAGCTGAGTCTTGTGCTGGGAAGATAGAGAGGAAAATAATCTCCTAAATCATTTCTGTTTTTAACATCCTATGACAAAATTTATTTCAGTTTACTCCTCTTCTTTTCTTTATATGTAGCTTCACTTATATCACAAATAAAAATATTTGTGATATCACAAAGTATCACAAAATGTGAGGCTTCCTAGGGACTGCCCTAGTTCTCAAACTTTTGGAGTACTATTCAAAGCTAACCATTAACTTGAGAAGGTAGGCAGTCACCTTGAGAGGACAATTAAAGATGTCTAAAAGGATCACCTACAGCAAAATATTTTTACACAGTCTTGCCACAGCCTGCAGTTGCCATTACTGGAGCCACTTGTTTGGGTGAAATCTGTTGTGATGTAAAAAAAGATTAATTGAAAATGCAAAGAGTGCAAAGATTTATCTACAAAGGTATTTATCGTAGTATGGATGATAATATTAAAAAATTGGAACCATGTCCAGTAAAAAATTAGTTAGCTAAATTAAGACATGTTCATTAAGTAGAATTATATGGCTGTTTTAAATTTTGTAGAACAGTGAATAATATATGTAACAGTGTATGACAGTGTAATTTATCCCAGCTGAAAATTTGTCTCTTTGTGCATTAACTGTGTAGAAGAACAGTAAAGACATATGAAAAAAGCTGCAAAATACTATTTGAAAATTGAACAACCTTCCCATTTGTAATCATCTATTTCTTTAGCCTAGTTTGAATTTCTGTGTATATTTAAATATGAAGGAGAAGATTAAGAGCTTTATAAATCAGAATGGCCTTTTCTCTATTAGTTGGACATTACTGTATTTTGTGGTTTAATGTAACTTTGTCTCTCTTTATTTTAAGATGAGTTTTATCTTGAGGCAACATGGGATGAGCATTAGCTTTAGAATCAGATAAATCTGTTTTCAAATTTTGGCTTCATCTCTTAACAGTTGTGTGACTTTGAGAAAGTTACTTAACTTCTCTAAGTTCTGGATTCCTCATTTATAAAATGCAAGTAATGTCTATTTTACAGGGGAGTGAGGATTAATAACATTATGAATGCAAATCTCTTAAAACAGGGCCAGCCACTATAATAAGCACTCAACTGCTGTTAGTAAGAAATAATGCTTAGGTAAAGGTGATGTTAATGTTGAAGAACTGTCAAAAAGTTTTTATTGATGGTGAAAATAGGGAAGAAAATACTCATATAAGTAATTACTGCTCTCTACAACTATTTGTTTTTCTTTTTTAAAGAAAAGGAGCCAACTTAAGGGTAGATGTGTGTCTGTTCTGATGCTTAGGGTCATGCGAAATTATTATGATAATAAAAATTTCAAGGGGGTGGGGGAGGGTATAGCTCAGTGGCAGAGTGCATGCCTAGCATGTATGTGGTCCTCGGTTCAATCCCCAGCACTGCCATCAAAAAAATAAATAAATAAATAAATAAATAAATAAATAAGAAAGATAAATGAACCTTAAAAAAAAATTCAAGTATTCAAAATTACGAATTTCTTTAATGTTAGAATGCAGCATTTATTACCTAACACTTTGGAATTAGACAGATCTGGTTCAAATCCTAGTTCTGGCATTTCCTAGCTGTGTAAACTCAAGAAAGTTCCTTAATCTCTGTAAGCCTCAGTTTACTTGTTTGTAAAACAAGGATAATAACAGTAGCCATCTCAGGTTGAAGGGTATTAAATGTACTTGGTGTTTAGTAAAGGTTCAATATATGGTTGTTACTATTATTATTATTATTTAACAACTATGGCCACATACATGGTAAGAAATGGAAGTAGAACTAGTAACATGACTTGGTCCAAGGACACACTTTGAAGAGAAACTGAACTCTAGATTTGAACTTAATTCAGTGTATCTGTATTCTACTGAAATATACATAGTCTCATGAGCAAACTATGCTGCCTTCAGGTCTTTGTACGTTTGCTCAGGCTGCTCCCTGTCCCCATCTGCCTTCACCACCTTATTGAGCTAAGTCTTCCACAATCTTTAGTTCTTAGCTCAGACATGGCCCTGGGATTTCTTCTTTTCTCTGGATTGGGTACCTCTCCAGTGTGCTCCCAAGGCTCACTGTCCTAACCCCTAAACACAGCATTTTTTTTACAGTAAAGTGTATTTGCCTATTTAGTTTTCTGTCTACCTCAGTTGTTTTGTACACCGTCATGTCTGTACACACACAGCACATAGAAAGTGATCAAAAAATCTTTTGAATTCTTTTGTTCATTAGAATTTTCTACTGAATCTAGTGTTGTTTTTTTATTTATTTTTAAAATTACAGGCCAAAGTAAGACAGGTAAATAGAAATCATATTTATAAAGAAAACTTACAGACACAAAGAAAAATATAAATTGGTAAAAGTGGTAACAACTTCAAAATAACTTTTCAATAAAAATTTATTTATAGTGGATAAAATAACTGGAATTATGCTTTGTTTTTATACCAGAAGTATCAAAGAATGTCTGATTGTAATTGTAAAAACCTAGCTTTGAATCCCAGCTCTAACACTAAATAATTTTGCTATCTTGAGCAAGTCATTTAATTCATCAGAATCTTAATTATCCTCATCTATCAAATGGGATAATAATAATTTCATCTTAGCAGGTTCTCACGTGGAAATGCATACATAAATTGTTAAACTGATAAATATTACCTAAAGTAGGAAATATGAAAATATATCACTTTCTCTTTCAAGCATTAATTTTAAAATTATCTGTTATAAAATTTGTACTTTTTAAAAACCCAAGAGCTATTATGGATAACCCAGCTTTCATTTATTCACCCAATAAATATTAATTGGACATTTACTATGTGCCAGGTATTGTTCTAGGCACTCTGGATTCATCAGTGAACAAAAGAAATTCCTTGCCCTCTTGGAGTTCACATTCTACTGGGAAAGATATAAATGTTAAGAAAACTAAGGTAGAGCAAGGGGATAGAGTGTGATGGGGGAGGGCAGAAAGTGTCCTATTTTAGCTAGGAAGTTCAGGCAGTCTTCTAACGAACGCAGTGGAGAAGTTAGTCATGTGACCATATGGAGGGAAGAGTATTCCTGACTGAGGAAGAAGTGTCAAGGACAGGGGAGGTGAATGTTTGGTGTCTGAGTCAAGCCCAGTATGCCAAGAGGTAAATGAAAAAGAAGAGTGGAAGGAAAGAAGTCAGAAAGGTACAAGGCTAGACCATGTAAGGTCTTTCAGACCTTGGGAAGGACTTAAGAGTTTTATTAAACATGTGAGTGGGAAACTATTTTAAAGTTTTGAGAAGTAGATTTCATGGTTTTGAAAAGGTTCAATCATGGCTGCTATGCAGAGAATGCAAGAGATGATGCTGGTTTGGATCAATGAGTGGTATCAATGGGAGATGGTGAGAAATGATCAGATTTGAGATCTCTTTTGAAAGTAGAGCCAGTATGATTTGCTGATGGATTGAAAGTGGGATGTGAGAGAAAGAGCGGAGTCAAGGGTGACTCTAATTGTTGTGGCCTAAGCAACGAGGTGAGTGGTGGAATTATTTACTGGGATGAGGCAGGAGCAGGTTTTAGGAAGGGAAATTCAGCGTTCTCTGAGACATTTCATCTGGTGTGTTCAGTGACATTAGACATTGTTTCCTTCTTTCTGCTTCTTACAAAACTGAAACAGATACTACTCCGCTTTCAAAATAAGAATGAGTAAATGCCCTAGAAAACAGATTGCAGTTTTGGTGAAATGGTCCTAGGTTCTAAATGAGACAATTAATGCAGCATCAGTAATCAAGACCGAGTTTAGTAAATCATGTAAACTTATTTAGCCACATAGGATGCTTACTGAGTGTTCTTTGCTTTATTTGGCTGGATATCTCTATTTTTTCCCTATAAATTTTCCTGAAAAGAGGATTTGACCTAAGAACCTGCTGAAAATCTAAGAGTCTGGTTCGTAAAAACAAAACAATACTAATACCTTTGGGCATATTTCTCAAGTCATGTTAACTCAGCACTGCTCTTTGTAGTCTCTAAGAAGACCTTGTTGTTGGAAATATGAGTTATAAACTCATCTTTTGGTTATAATTTGAATATTATAATTTGGTTATAATATGAACATTTAACCTGGGGCAGTAACTGGAGAATTGGCAAAACCTAACATGAACTAACTTGGATTCAAAATGAGTACTCAAGTTTTCTGTCTACTAAGTATCCTTAGATATTTAAATGAGAAGACAGTCTGATTTCTAGGTCAACACAAAAACAGCCTATTATTTAACAGTTATTTGCCTACAGAGCTGGGTTAGGAACAGAGAGACATCTTTAAGCAGCTCACCTCTAAACTGAGGAAGAGCAGCAGAACTACCCTATTTATTACCTCACAGGTTTGTGAAAGAAATTTAAAAATCTAGAATGCTGTACAAATTTAAGGTAATTTTATTCTGTTGATGTGTAATGATACCTATGATAAAGAACATTCATACCTAAAATGTTCTTTAGGAGAATAATCGACAAAATTAGACTTTGATTCCTCACTTTAATGCTGGTATTGACCTGTCTGTATTGCCTTCTATATTCCATGATCTCACACTAGAGAAGTATCTAAATCAGTTCTTTGGAGAAACTTGCTAGGCCAAGAACCAAATCCCACTATACAGGAGCTAGTCCTAGAGAGTTGGGTACACATCACCTTTTAAAAATTTTGCTGCAGATGGGACACACTTTGAGGTAAATCCTGCATTGTTACAATTTCTATCTCCTCACTAGTGCAGTGATCATCGCCATCTTAGTTTTATTTCTAATCTACTTTTGGTGTGTGTGGTATTAGTAATTTAATAGATTTAGTATATATTGGATTATCAGAATAAGAACTTGAGATACATGGAAATATGTCAGTAGCAATGTGGAAATAATGTCTCATTCTCTTAATTCTTCTTTCAATTTGAAAGAGGGAAAAACAGCAGATAAACACAGACAAATGTATGCATTAGAAGAGAATGTTGAAATAAAGAGACAGTAGAAGTGACACATAGGAGAATTAGTAGCAATCTGTTTCATTAGAGACATTCCTTAAAGGGCAGAGGTTAAGGAAATGAGAAGATTTTTAGATAATAGGCCAAGGTGAGTTAACTATTCTCTTGTTATTTTTAAAATCTAATTTGTAAAGATATGAAGGTAGGAAAGAAAGTAAAGATTTAGTTTGAATGGGAGAAAGAGATTGGCTACTATGAAACATATGTACTATGTATGTTTTGTATACAGAAGAGGATAAACATGCAGGGAAGCACTTGTGTAAAGGATACTGAAATCAGAGCCCAAAAGGTGGTGTTTAATCTGAAATGTAGCAAAAAAAAAAAAAAAAAAAAGTGGGAGTAAATTCTGTGACCCATAGAAAGGCTAATGCAAGCCAAATAAGGAGGCTTCAGGAATCCAGGACCAAAAAAAGGTTTTCGTGGCTGTCACAAAAATGAAGTTTTCTTTCACTCTCAATTCACCACCATTCATGATGAACTTAACTTTTATATAGGAAGTCCCAAATAAGAAAACTTTGTCAAGCTCCATTAACTCAAAGTCTCATTTTAAACATGAAGAAGATTTAAACATTTCCATCCTTCTTCAGCCTCTTAATATTTGTATCAGTTTTCTTTAGTTGGTTAAGAACCTTAAAAAGATAACTTTCCTAATTAAATTGACATAATGCTTTCACTAGACTAGGAGAAGAGCAAGTACCCCAAATAGGCTTGTGATCCCAAGATCTAGTTCTAGTTCAAGCCCTTGGTGGGAAGGTTCTGCTCGGCCCCTCCCAGACTGTGGAGTGCACTGTGACTCCAAGTGGAGGTCTGTGTAGCATGCAGTCTGTACAGAGCTTGTCAAGGTGACTCTAGTTATACATGAGCTTTAAGAACTCTTCAGTGACTGCAGGTAAATAGTCACAACTCTTGTGCTACCAAAAATCTAACTGCTGAAAATGTTTCTGAATTTCTAAACACGACATTATGTCTGTACTTGAATTGTTCCCTTTAAGCAAAAGCACAATTCCGTAGTAGTTTTAAAAGCTCTTTGTCAGCTATGAAGCACCATAAAAAATTAAAGAAAATACCTCTGTGGTGTTTGAGCTTTCTTTATTTCCCAGGAAAAGGAAAAAGTTAAGGAAATCCTTTCATTTTTTTGGTCTTGTTATGGGCAATTAACACCATGCAACAAGCAATGCCTTTGTCAAATCTCAGTGTCAGTGAAGGAAACTAAGTCTGGGGTTAGCAGTATCATTCATCTTATATGTCAAGTTAATGAGCTGAGTTCATCACTTCTTTTACATGTGGATAGTAACGGTTAAAAATTTAGCTGTCACCTTTTCATGTGCTAAGTTTAGTTCATTAAAGATCTTTCACAATGAAACCTGCACGCAGGCGTTGGTGGTATAGTGGTGAGCATAGCTGCCTTCCACAATGAAACCTGGTTTACCTACTGCCTCATTTCTTCAAGAGTACATTTGAAAAATCATCTCTGTGAATTCCAAAACCCAGTTGAGATTAAATACTCATTGAAGTTCTCGTGTCCATAAATTGTGGTGTGAGTCCGTTCTACTGAATATGTGCCTTTGTAAGCACATGGTGATAGAAACTGTGTTACACTAACACAACAGATGTGTTAGCGTCTGTAAGAGAGTCTGTATTCTAAATTGTAGGTTTGTGGCGCACTGGAGCTTTAACACATTATTAGGAGTTCCAGTAGCATTAGCCATATTCTATAAGTGGGAATAGAGACAAACTTCCAGAATTTGGATAGAGTCCAACTGTTTGTTTCATAGTCCATTATTATAAGATTCTGTAATGTTTATAATTTTGTCTCCTGACAAAGTAAATATAGTGTGCATATATTTCAGATTTTACGAGATGGCCTTGATTTTAAATATTCTGCCTATTGTCAAATCATGTATCAGATAGCATATTTTAATTTTTGTTAAAAAATGTTTATTATAGTTAAGTATAGACATCCTCAATTTCCTAGCAAAGGGTTATATGGACTTTATGTAAAGTTGAGAATTATTATTAAGGAGAGACTAAAAAGTTACGACAAATTTTTAACTTAGAGTTTATAGAATTCGTTTCATCATTACCAACGTGAAAGCAATTGAATCATAGTTTTTTGAGAAAGAAAACTGGTTAGCTGTTTTGTTTCCTTCAAACTGATTGATTTTGATATCTTTAACAAGTTTGAGTAAAATAAAATGTTGGTAAGATACTGAAATTTTTAGCACCATTGCTGTAATTTCACTTTTTAGGAATGGTAATACAGATTAACCCAGATTCTCTTTTTCTTTGCTTATATGGTTGTTAAAATATAATACAACTAGTGCATCTAATTACTGCTAATAGTGCAGTGTACCAAGCCAAACACTTGCCACTGACTGTCAAGAGTCTTTCTGATGCAGCTGAAAAGGGAGAAAGAGAGAGATAGGGGGGAGAGAGAGAGAGAGAGAGAGAGATAGAGAAAGGAGAAAGAAAGAGCAATGTCCTTTGAGCAAGACTTTCTGCAGCTGTTGTGTACATTAATCCAGGGAGCAGATCTACCAACACTAAATATAGCAAGCATATCCTTTTACATGATAAAAAAAATTTAAATGAAAGTCTTTAACTATGCAGTCATATTATTTTAGATTTTATTTCCTTTAAAAAGGAAACAGGCATTGCACACATATTCTCTATACAAATACTGTTATTTTAATAAATGAATGTGTGGAAAATGCCAATGATACATGCATCATGTTGCAACTTCCTCTGCTGAGATATTTTCCCTTAGAACCCAAGTAGGCTGTGATCTCTGTGAGTCTTATCAATTCCCTCCAAAGTCTTTCCATGTAAAAAAAGTTTATTTTCCACATAATTTTGTGTCCCATCATACTTAATTAGAAAGTTATCCTAGATTTCATTCTAAACAACAGTAATTAGGTCTCTGAAATATCTCTTTTCCCGTTGTCAGTGACTTGTTATCAAAACACACTTGAGAACTTAAATCTGGATATTACCTTTCTTTTTTTAGTTGACCCAGATGAGGATGTCCAAGCCAGGCGCTCCACTGTGATGATAATTATCCAAGGAGAACTTTTAGATGAAAGCACAGGAGAAAAGGAAAATTCTTCACGCCCTTGGAAATAGAGAGTAGCCGTCCATAGAAAGTGAGGAGTTAACCTTAGTTTCAGTGAAGATGGCTGTAAGAAGCTGGACAACCTGTCACCACCGGAGCCAGAGCATTTGTCAGCTCACAGGTCCCAAGTTATTTTGAGCTGTATAAACCATGTGCCTGTGAAACATTCCACCTGATTGGACAGGAGAAAACTGAGCAAAGGGATTCCACAGCAGGACAGCACCTATGGGCGGTGGGGGGGTCAATCAGTTTTCTACCTGTAGAATTTCAATTACAGCTAGAGACCCAAGTTGTTTACTGATTTGTAATTAAAACTAAATTCATTACAGCACATTCCATCTGTCGAAGAAAATGGCATTATTTCTGAAATATATCAAAAATTTTCCTTTTTAGGGGAATTAATTTTAATTAATGAGAGATTTACTCTTATTTAATCACTGATACATTTTATGAAATTTGGCTATGAAAGGACAGTATGAAGCTGAGGTCTAGCATTTTAAAATGGAGAGTTTTTGAACTGTTTATCCAAAGGCTAAGCAAAAACAGAGAAGACAACTAACATCAAAAATTGATAATTAGAGATTACAGAAAAAATGGAGAGGAAAAACCATCAGCCTGAGAATAAACACAGTAACAAATTAGTTTGAACAAACTTTTTCAGAAAAAAACTAATCAGATACTGTTTAAAAGTCAAAATTACTATATAATATAACATATTACAGCTCCTATTCATGTCTAAGTACTGGAATAACTTTTTTGTATGTTATTTTGAAAGAGTCAATGCCAGTTTCTTCCTTCATAAACATTACCAAATAATTAAAATGAATCCTCAGCCAAACCAACATCTGCTCAAAAACCTGCTTTGTCAAAGTATAGGCTCTTTGATATTAATTTCACACATTTTCAGAATATAAATTTGGAAAAAAAAGTTAACCCTATTGTTCCAATCTTTGTGGAAGCCTGGGTGTTGAAAATTCAGATAAATGCCATTGATTTTTTTTTAAAGGATATTTTTGGATTTGGATAGCATAAAATACCTTGGTTTAAACCTTGCTTTTCTTAATTAAATCACACAACTGTTTGTAGGATTTCCTCCCATTCATTCATTCAGCAAATATTTACCTGATGCCTACTGTGTATCAGGTAAAGGTTATAAAGCAGTGCACAAAATATACCAAAATTCCTGACATCATGGCATTTACTAAGAGACCTTTTAACCCTTTGCAGTCACCTTGAGACTCCCTATAGTATATTTAATAGTATAAAATTTCTTTGTTTATTATGATCACATCAGAAGCTTTATTGCACCTTTTGTTATGGAGCTTTGAATTTACCTGGCAAAAATAAAAAAGAGTATTAAGGAAAACTTTTAGGTAATCCAGGTCGAAAGAACTATTACTGAGAAAGGAAAAGAATACAAAAAGAACTGCATTATGTGGCTGGATTATTTTCGTTACTGCAATAATCTGAATCTTCAGTGTACAGGTTTGTTTACTCTCTTACCTAATCCTAGGCTGAAACTAACCTCAAGATTGCTTGTGTTTCTGCATTTTCTATTTATGTAGATGCTCCAATGATTTCTCCTTATGTAAAGAGGGGATCTCCCCCAACTCTCCCACTCAGATCTTGAGGTGTAATCAATATAAATACTGCTACGTCTTTAGTAGGGGCAGGGAAAAGTGGAAGGTCTATTTCAGGCAGCAGATAGATGTGCTATAATTTGATTTTCCAAAGGGAAATGCTTACACACACTGTAAGTGAACACGTTTCTACTTTCCTGCAAACTGTTCCATGATAAGCTTGGTATCCTACCTTTCACCCAGGTATAGAACTCTGAGGTGGGAGGAGACCCATACTGAAGGATAAAATAGAGTTGGTTGGGCAGTGGAATTAGGAATCAAGAGGAAAAACTAAAATAAGTTTAAAATGAAAAAAAAAAAGTTACAGAAGAAAGAGCCAGAGAATTTCTGAATAGCAATAATCTTTCTCTTCTTATTTTACTGTAACATTTTCAAACGCAGAGTGCACAAAAATTTTTGAGCTCTTTGAAAAGAAGTTCGACATAAATATTTTAAATAAATAATATTCATTTACTGTGGACACCTTGCTTACAATACATCAAAGTTGTATTCTAGATTACAGTTTTTAAAAATTAGTTTCTGTTCCCAAGTAATTCCCTACTCTGCATATCATCATAGTAATTGTATAAACATGATACCACAAATTTACTGCTTTAGGTTTTACCAGGGTTTATGGGTACAAAGAATAATTTTTAAAACTTAAAAAAATACATCCAACATAGTTAAAAACAAATTTCTTAAGTGACGAGTAAACACAAGGTTAACATGTCGTAAGCCTTCCCCATAAAGTTGAGTGGCCCATCCAACACGTGTTTATTGTGGTTTGAACATGATCTTGTGCTTGCCTTCAGCTGTTTTCTTAATTCAGTCACTCAGCTATAGAAACAATTTACTCACATGGGGTGATCCACAGGAATGCCAAGGAATCTGGAAGATCTGTAGCAGAGGAAGTCTTCACTTGAAGGATAAGCATGCGAGAATGTCTGTGCTAGTAGATTCATATAAAATTTTTGTCTTTGCTGTTTTTCCATGTTGCTGTAGATTTTTATTCTTTAAAAGAAATTTCTCACATACACCAAAGTTTTGCTTCAATTTCATAGATGTATATTGAGGTAATCCCCTCAAGTATCACATGAAAAAACAACCACCCCTCTATGTCTTATTTTTAAGGAACAGAGACATGTATGTATTTTCTAACCTTTGCTAATGAGAAAAATACTCACACCAGAGACAAGTCCTTGACCATCCAAAACAATACAAGTGGTGGATTATAGAGGGTCTGATACAGTGTAATTGAGAACTACAATTAAATCCTTACGAAATTTCTTTTTAATCTCAATGGTAGTGAAAACACTTGCTTAAAATTAAAAAAAATAAATAGAAAGCTGTAAGTTCAAAACCTATTTAGTTTTAAAAACTAAAATCATTTTTAAAAATATAAACAGAATACCTATTAATCCTGAAAAGTAAATTTGTAATTACCTGTCCCAGGAGAAGCACCATTCCTCTATCAATCAACCAGGATCATCCAAAGCCCGAATCTCACTGCCTAACTTGTGTCAGCCACAAAAGTAGCATGCAGGAAATGTGATACTGCCCCGCCAGAGTAATGAAGGGTATTTACAGGGTTCTGTGGCAGATCCAGGGACAGTCATTTAGAACAGATTGCTCTTTTGGATCAACTTTAATAACTCAGTCTGCACGATGTTCTCAGCCTGGGTAGATGGTGAGGGTGGATAATGACTAAGATGACTAAGTAAATAGACTTTCTTGATTTTTCCTTAGATGAAAAGGATAATAATGATGACATTTTAAAGAATAAATCATAAAAAATGCACAAAATATCCACACACAGGATGCATGTGATTTGTGTAAACATGTTTGATAGAAAACTGAGAGTATTGTCAATACATTTATTAAAGTAAATATAGAAGAGCAATCAGTTATTATAATACATAATGTACGCTCCCCCAGTTTGCGGGTAGTTAGATTAAAGCTTTACTATGTGATTTCCATGAAAACACAGTACAGTCAGGCTTTCTTTACTTGTGCTTTTGATGTGAAGGACATATCAGAGTTTACACTTTTTCCGAAGTATTATTTCCAAGAAGAAAAATCCATTCCCAGGGTTTTTTTTTTCCCCACTCTTTTTCAAAAAAAATTTTTTAAATTATTTTTTCTTCCTTTTCTTTAATGGAGGTACTGGGAATTGAACCTGGGAACTAAGGATGCACTCTACTACTGTATCCACCAGGGTTTTTTTCTTAAAGAGCATCTATGATTAACATCAAGTTACCGAAGAAATCCAAAATAATTAGTATCAGGTATGTAATCATGAGGTTGATTCTCATTGCTCACCACATTAGTAAAGTAATTATATTAACACACATATAAATACATCATCCTAGTAGAAATAGGTTAACAGTGGGCAGAGTATAGCTCAAGTGGTAGAGCACATGCTTAGCATCTACAAGGTACTGGGTTCAATCCCCAGTACCTCCTCTAAAATAAAATAAATAGATAGATAGACCTGATTACCTCCCCACTGCCAAAAAAAGTAACAGTAAAAAAAAAGAAAAAGAAAGAAGTTAACATTCTTACCTATGTGCTAGGTGCGATACGAAGCTCTTTATGGACGTTGTGCTTTATTTTAAATATTCTTTCAACAATCTGTAAAGTAGATAATGTTATAATTTTAACTTTACAGATGAGAACCTGGGGCTTAGAAAGAGGTTAAAAACTTCCCCAGGGTCACACAATGGATAAATGATTGAACCAGAACCAGGATTAAACCTACAGCTAACCTGAAGTCTGTGCTCATAACCGCTGCAAATATTTAAATATTCACATTTCTAAGGTATTTGTTAAAAAAATTAAGGGTAAAATGAACATAAAACTAACTCTCTCTTTTAGTAAGTATTTAAAAGAAATAGTATGTAGAATTTTAAGTTTATAATTTTTCTGACCAAAACCAACCCTGAAATTCTTTTGTATGACTAACCAACAAACAAACAGAGAAACTATAGAAGGAAAAAAGCAAATGCTTTTAGATACACTCTATCTGCAGTATTTTATCTGAGAGCATGAATTGATACGTAGACCAAAACACTAGGCATTAATGCTGAAAAGATAGGGCATTGGAAGACAGTCTGAACGCTTTGACAGACCTATTTTTTTGTTCTGTTTATGATAGTCATTTTGGATTTTTATAAAGTAAATTTAAATCCCTGTGTTATGTCTCAGCACCTCAACATGCGTCGATAAATTTTTGCAAGTTAAGGGTAGGAAAATAACAGTTGAAATATTCTCTCTTCATAACGGTGTCCCTGAATATCTTAAATGCCAGTGTGCCAGGCTCTGGGTGATTCCACTCAGATTCTATTTTTGGGCACCATGGATATCACGGAAAGCTGAAAACAAAGTTCCGTGTTATTACACAAGACCCAAATTGTTACCGTAACATTAATGATGTCAAGGAAAGGAAACAGGAAATGACATTTCTTCCAGGTATACTCCAGGACTCACAGCAACCCTGCAAGGTATTGTTATTTGCATTGTTACAAGGAGGAAGCTAAGGCTTAAAGAAGTTTAGCTTTCCCAAAGTTACCCAGCCACTGAGCTGCACAGCTTGGTGAATTCAAACTTAGGCCTCTTATTTTAAAACATATTTTCTTTTCATTTGTCCCCACTGTCTTCTCATGAAGAGTAATTATTACAGATTAGTTAAAAAGTCAGAAACCAGCAAAAGGAGGAAACTCACCATTATTTTCATATGTATTGATAGACAAAGGGTTATAAAAGTTACTACTTTGATTTTAGGGGCTTGGTGTTTATTTAATAGAAGCAAGAAGAGAACAAAAAAATAGCCTATGACTAAGTCTCAGGCTATTTTCACAAAGAAGACTCAATAAAATTAGTTGACTGAAATAGCAAGGGCCGATACACATTTCCGGGTTGTCTTACTACATGAAAGTTTATTTGATAAACTTCCTATCAAAGGCAGCATACTTTAACGTCAGAAGACCTGGAAAACCTTTATTTTGCCTTCTCATTCATTCTGCTCATCACCCAATTGCTCTTCATTCTAAATTGACAACGGATTAGTTAAAACTTAGTCTAGAAAAGTCTCCTGTTAATATCTTAAAGATCCTCTCCTTTCATCCTCTAGCCTAGACAATAACCTTTAATTAAAAATGTGGGTGATAATGTCAGTAAAAGGGATAAGCAAACATACAATGTCAGAGAGGAGTTAAACACAAAAATTTACCGTGGTGTAAACTGAGCTGGGGTTAAATCTGGTTGTAGACAGTCCACTGGCCTGACAATATTGTGTAAATTTCAACCAGGGATAAGAAAGTTCTTGTTATATTCAGAAATGTGCTCATCTTGATCCTATAAAATATAAACAACCTTTCTGGTCTTATCTGCCACTCTTCTAAACAAATCCTTGTCTCCAAAAAGTTCCAGCAGTAGTCCCTTGCCTTATCTTTCCTTTCTGCCTTTGTTCATTGTTTCTTCCAATTATTATGTAATTAAACAACTAGTGGTTGCTACATGCCTTATATTGCTAATTAAACTGATTTTTCATGTATGTATTTATGCTTTATCTGTTTAACTAGATCAAATCCTTGAGAATTGGAGCCATTAAAAAAAATTCTCTCTGTAGGCCACACATAGTTTTCATCTCAAGGCATGGCACAAAAGAGTCACTTAATAAATATTTGTCCATGCCATAAAAGTAATATATTAATTGTTGAGTTGTCCTAAGTTATTCACTCAATTCAACAAATGTTTACTGAACGCTTATTATGTGCCAGGCAAGATCAAATGGCCGAAACTCTCTGCAACATTAACTGAATTGATTGTCATTAACAATTGTAATATTAGTTTAACACAAATACTATTAAGAATCACTTCAAATGAGAAAAGGAGCTAAAAATGTTTGGATGCTCATTGTGCACCAGTTGAGTAAGGAGCTATATGTACTTTGGCTCAGTGGATGCTCACAATTCCTGAGATAATTGATATGGGGGACCTTTGCCTTTGGGAAAGGAATGGGGCTTTTTATAGCACCCACCATGCCCAAGAGTTCTTCTGTAGGCGCTCCATAAGAGGCACATCCATGCTTTTGCATCCTCCTGAACTGGCTTACCACTACTTTCTTGCTCAACTTAGAAATAGCTTTGTTTTATATCAGGTCTTTACTTTCTTTCCAACCCCTCGAATCAGATTCTTTTTTGCTTCTATAGATTGCTTCTCTTGAGTTTTGGGTTTTAAGACCCTACTACCCATAGCTGAGGGGTAGTTCTGTCCACTCTTTTGAGATTCCAGCTCAAATCACAGACTGAGCTGTCTGTTTCCCCAGAAGTGAAGAGTACACACATATATTCTCTAATTTAGATCATAATCTCAACTGAGACTGACTCCAAAAATTGGACCTATTGAAATGCAGATAAACCAGATTGAATGACTCAACTCTCTGAGTGAGCCTAGCTGACCTACCTCAATGTCCACATCAACCAAGCTTTATTGTTCATATTTAATACATAATTTAATACAACAACCTAGGAAGTTTGAATTGTTATCCTCATTTTATGGAGGATGAGACTGAAAAAATTATATGCTACTGTGGTTTTCATAAATTTAGGGATCTGAAAAAGTCTCAGGAAGTACACCTTGAGATTGTCCAAGATATACTATATCATTATCCTCTATTTATAGAGGAGGAAACTGAAGATCAGAGAAGAAATTTGCACAAGGCCACTCAAAGCTATGAATCACATCCAAGTCTACATGACACCAAAGCCCAAGCACATCGCACCTCCTTTCAGAGGAACCCGCACTTGTTAGCAAGGCAGTTAGGAATCACTTTGGGAAAAAAAACGCAGAAGATGTAGAGTTACAAGAAGGAGACCTCCAGTGATATTATGATTACATTGATTCAGTGACTTTCTCCAAAATCCTTCCAAGTCCTTGGTAATCTGGATAATTTACTTTCTCTGACTGGTCAAAGAAACAACTTAAAGGAATTGAAGCAACCATAAATAATAATTCTCAGTGCAACTCTATCTGCAAATTACTAGACATACTGAAATTAGGCATGAGAGATTATTTACAATCATGTATTGGTTATTACTCTAATAACAACAACACAAAATAACATCTCTGCCCTTGAGGTTGGTCTTTATTATGATTATTTTGTACATAGCAAAATTAAGCACTAGAATGGCCATGAAATGTAAATGTAAATCAGCAGAAAACCCAAATTGCCAAGTTTATGTTATTAATTTTGTTTAATAAGAGCTTTTTGGAGGGAATGCCCCAAACTTTATTAGCAAAACTGAGACAATAAATACGTGCTAAGTGAGACTTAGAACATGCTTTGAATAACTAGGTATAGATGGCAACTAAAAAAAACATAAAAATTGTTTTCTAGTTCTCTACTTCTAGTTGGTAGTTATGGCAAAAAATATTTTATTAAGTCTTAAGAAAATTATTTGTGAGAACCAGATTAATTTGTTTTATTCATTAAAGTGATCTAATTGCTCATGGACTTTACTTTAAAGGTCATTTATCTCAGTGTACTAAAAACTTCCTAGGTACTATGGGAAATCTCATAAAATACTCAGATTTTCAAAAAAAAATTCTTATCTGCTTTCTAATTTTGCATGAATAGTAGATGGAAGGAATCCAATTACTATGTTAACAAAAAGAGGCAGCTGGATTGGCTATTTGGTCATCATTCACTATGCTTATATTGGGATGGAGTCATAGCCAGGGTTTTGTTTAATTTAATTTTCTCTTCTCTACTAATTTAGAAATGTTAAGATCAGAGAATGTTTCCAAGTCCAGGTGGAATTTAGCTTAAACGACAAATAGATAAACATAAATGCCATTGTAAAATTAAGATCTTTAAGTACCTTAAAATCAGAATAAGGATGCACATGAATCAAACTTAGGAAAGATCCATCACCTCTTTTCAGAAACAAATAATGAGCAGTTTTAATGTTGAGACATTGATATATGCCCTGTTTGATTTGAACATTGAATGTTTAAAATATTATCAGTAGTAAGATGGTAAAAGAAGTCAAATGCTATAATTAGTCAGTGAATAATTGTATTTAGAACTGGATTCCACCTCCACCACTTATTATTTGAGAAGCCTTAGGCAACTTACTTAATCTTCTAGCACCTCAGTTTCCTCATTTCTGAAAAATGGGGAAGATAATTGTACCTACCTCATAGGATTTGCTGTGAGAATTAAGTAAGTAAATACTCTTAGAACAAAACCTGACTCCTAGCAAGTGATGAATAAATGATAATCACCATTATTACCATTATTATCATAAAAAGCTATGTTTAAGTGAACATCTTTTAATCTGGCTCTGTGAAGTCATAGGGAGTGAAGAATACACAATTGTGCTGAGCTATAAACTCTAAGGAAAGGCCAAAGGCTGAATGGGCCACGTAGACTGATGACTCAGACACAGCAGCAGTTCAGGTTTCCAGAATGATTCAGTCCTTGGCGTCTATCCTGATGCTGACAACAAGAATGCCAATTAGTGCCAAGAGTGATGAGGGTTTTTTTTTTTTTAACATGGGGTGCTGTTCATTAGAGATTCAAATCAGATCACTTACACCTTGTATAGAACACCAGTAGTGATCAACCAAGTTCAGATTCAAACCAATGACATAGAGGTAAAATGCTTCATATCTAGTTACTATGCTCCTGAACCATCTGCTTCTGAATTCTAAATTCTCAACTCACCCACTGCCAAGGGCCTAAACATAGCTAAAGGATTTAAATTATAATCTGATCTGACAACCCAGGTATCAAACAAGCCTACTTTAGCCAAATAAGTAGAGTGGTGACAAATAACAGAGCAGTATATCCACTCTGGTATGTGCTTTATGACAAGAAAATAATAATGGAAAGTACTGGACAATATCTTATTTCTCATCTGATCTAAAGAAGGATGTCAACATAAGATTGGTATAAAATTTAGGTTAACAGAACTATTGTTAAGGTTAAGTGATTTAGAGAGGAGAAATCTAGGGAAGTGAGGGATATCTTAGTCTTTCTATGATCCTGAATTGTCTAATAAACTAATGTTGAATGTATGTAAACACCACGTGATTTAGTTCTACTAAATGAATGCTACTAA